AAAAGTTACTGAGATCGCGGAATGACTGTGCCACCTTCCAATCTTTCTCGAAGTAGTTGAGCCTAATGTCGCGAATATGCGGATGATGACTGTGCCACCTTCCAATCTTTCTCGAAGTAGTTGAGCCTAATGTCGCGAATATGCGGATGGCTTTTCGAGTATATTCTTGTAGAGGAAATCAAGTAGATCATTTCTAGAAAAAATCCGAACTCAACATTCAAAATCTATGGAAATCAAGTAGATCATTTCTAGAAAAAATCCGAACTCAACATTCAAAATCTATGGAGAGAAAAAAAGCCGCGAAAAAATCCGCAATAATTATGCATCAACCTAATAGTATCTGTGTTGTTGAAATTAGCGAGTGGAGAGCATTTACTCCTCGGAGGCACCAGTGAAGTAGTGATCCACCTATTCGCGAGGCTGGCCCTCCGCGTTACCCAATGTGACGGAACCCAGCTATCCAGTTCTCAAAGACGCAAATCTTCAAATGTGCTTAATGAGCTGTAGGACTCAACGGATCACTTATTACGGCACAGCTTTGGAAAGCGAAGAAGGGCAGTCCGTTTTCCAGTTTGCTTATGTCCCAAGGACGCAGTAGGGGCTATTTTTTTCACCCAAACGTCATTGAAGCTACTTTTTTTTGAAGGCATCATACCCCTCGCAGTTCTTCTTCCCCTTCCTTGCGCTGATTCCGCGCAGTGGCAGAGTCCGCTATTCCTGTCCACCGTCTCCACTTCGATCTACAGCATGTTCTACCTCTACTTTAGCTTCCTTCTTGATCAAGTTACCCCATCTCTTCTTTGGAGCTCCTCGGTGACCAATGCCCCTCTTATCGGGTGATTCTGCGGTGTGTCATAATCCTTGAGTTGCGAGAACAAATATTTCCCAAATACTGCATCACTTGCTGAGATCAGCCTGTCATTGATTGGGAATATGTGGTAGAGAAAGCTCGAAATGACCCCTGAGGCGGAGTCAATCAGTATGCGGGACTCCCGTCTTGTCGAAACCTATCTATGGCATTTACTACCTCCACTTTAGCTTAAGCGAGGTCCTTCTTGATCAAGTAACACCATCTCCTCTTTTGAAATTCTCGTTTTGGTCTTTTGTCACTACTCAAAATGACTTCCTTCACTTCAGGAGCAAAATGGCTCATCTTGTGAATTGAAGGAAATAGTACGACGAATACAAAATAGCTCGAACTTGAAAGCTTTTGAGTATCGAACCACGTATGTCCAGTCGCCCTCAAAATGCCTTCCTCATTATCGGCGACTGTTTTGGAAAACTGGGTAAGATGATGTGGTGCCAAGGAGCACATATTCACATGCAATCCAATCTGGGAAAGACGCCCCTCAGCATTCCACTCCCAGGAAGGAAATCATTCTTTTCGTACACTCATTGAAGATGCTGCACTTTTACAAATGCATGGCCGGGGATCGGATCTCGTATCAATATCCACCCAGGCCAACTAAGCCTCGGATAACCAGAATCGCCTGGATGGAAGAAAGACTGACTTGCACCTCGGCTGTTCACCACAAGTAATTGTGTAGGCTGTATTCAAACACATCCAAAACGGCACGGCGATTCTACATAATAGCCGAATGCGGAGACAAACTCCAAAAATGGGATTGATCAATACCGTACAACTTGGTCAACTTATTCTTTATTTAAGGCATGTCAGATGCCCACCCAGGAACATATAGAAGGAACATATAGAAATATCAGCCGGCTATCATATTTCCAAAATTTTCCTCACAGAACAGGGTAGTTGTTGAAGTTGAAGTTAAGCTGCGAGATTTTTTATACAGAAAATTTGAGAGCATGAGCAACAACCAAGAGCAAAGAAACTAGAAATCGCGATTTCCAAATTGATTCCCTTCATTAGACATCGTGTACTACAGGCAGGCACCTGGTTTCTTTCACGTGCCATCACACTAGCAAAAAGGTGTGACCCTGTTTCCGCTCGATTGGTCGCGAAAGAAGTGAAAAGAAACCAAACAACCGTTCAAAAGGAAACCAGCCCCCCGTCAAAAGCTGGAAACGCTGTCTGAGAAAGATATGTTTGGATCTCTTGATAAAGTTTATGATTCCTACGTTTCTTGAAGAGCTAGATGAAACACTTCCCAAAACTTCTCCTTAATGCCTGGCGC